AAAGAAAAAACGACGCGCACATTGCGCAAAACTCTGAAACAGGAGAAGTGGGACATAAAACGGAGCGACGAACTAGATGTGAATTATGGCATAAAAACAGAGAATCCGACACTGAACAGTGAAAAATCAACACATGATGTGAAACACATGACGATTAGGCAGCGCAGCAGGTGATGAGTGAAGATTAATGATGGTCAATAAATGATAAAATAAATCTAGCAACTGGAAATAAACTAAAGTGATACAATAAACCAAGAGAGGATAATAATCAAAGGAAACTAAATGGAAATGAGCCTACAAATTATTTGGTGGGGGGCAGTGAGGGACCTGGATAAAGGCTAGGGGGGACCTGGCCTGAAAAAGGTTGAGAAACACTGGTTTAAGGCATCAAATAAACCGCTACCTGAGCTCATACAGAAAATGTTTTTTGTAAAAGAAGGAGGGTATAACTTAAGGGGTTACTCAAACTTAAGGTATACACACAAGAAAGAGCTTTTGTATTTCAATTCATGGTGTAAAATTATGGAACAAGTTAAATGAGGAGTTAAAACAAAGTCAAAATCTAATACAATCTAAAAGGAAATATAAGGTGGTCAGAAATATCGAGCATTAGCACAAATGTGTATATGTGTATTGAAGCTAATGCATACAAGTGTGTGTGGGTATAGATGTATATATTTAGACATGTACACCCAGATAAAATGGAACATTAATTGACCTATGTTTTTTTTCCCATTTTATTTATTTTAATAACGAGGGTCCCTCTGAACATATTGTACAAGTTTGCGGGGTAGGAGTTCATAAGTTTCTTACTTCTTCCTGCTTCTTTTTGAGCATGTTAAGATTATTGTGGTACAAAAAATATGTGTCTTATGCATTCCTTGTTCACGTGTTAACTTATACTTCTATCATGTTTGAAATAAATAAATAAATGCTTCTCCTTTAAAGGAGGCAGAACTGGTGAAAGAGGGTAGAGGGTGGAGTAACACTTTCACCACTAGTGGCAGGGCTTGAAATTACAACTGTTTGCCTCTTCATGCATGTCTAAGCAGACCATGGAGATCTCAGAAAACATACAAGTCTGGAGGAAAAACCCAAAGCATAGTACACCATCTAGCCAACCATCCACACCACTCTACCTCCTCCCTGGCAATGATCATGTTGTCCTGGACATCTCCAAACACTGTAGGCTGGATGAAGTAGCCTCTATCTGCAGCCACTCCTCCTCCACACATCAGCTTGGCACCTTCTCTCTTCCCACTGCTGATGTAGCCCAGAATCTTGTTGAACTGCTCCTGATCTACCTGGAAACATCACAGAAGGAACAGCATGTCAAGTCCATACTAAAGTTAGTCAACTTCAAAAGACCCTGAATGTACCGAAAACGGTCACCGTGACCTTGGTGAACATTTTGGGGAAAACCCGATATGTACAGGCGTAAACTCAGCGCGAGCGTTGTAGCTCATGTTGCCCCAAACCCCCCCTATACCCCTATATGGGACAAAGTGGGCGAGGTAAGCTGCTGCATTCAATTTGACACGTCCTCCTTGTGCTCCCACTACATGCCTCGACCAAAGGGTGCGTTCACACCAAACGCGTTTTGAGTGTCAGGCGCATCTGGTTTACTTTTAAAGTAGGGTTGCCACCTTTCAGAAATAAAAATAAGGGATGCCCACCACAGCACGTGTCACCCTACTCTCATGGGGTGGGATTGTTAAGTTTTGCAACGGAATGACCGTGAATTAGCAGCGCTGCTAGCAGCTCATTTCTCTGAAGAGCTGACAGTAATAAAGAGAAAAGCAGAGAAGATCTGAGATCTGTCATAGATCTGAGTTGTGCCGACAGTGTAAAACACCAGAACTACACAATGTTAGCTTGGTGTGATGTGAATTTTATTTTTCGTTTGAATTTAAAAAATAATAAAGTTCATGATCTGAGTATTCATCTTTATGATTGGGCCTGGACATTTTATTTACAAGACAAAATAAAATATCTGGATTTATTTAATCCATCAGAAACAGAACCTTGAGGTTCTCCGTTGCTGAGTGTTGCTGCAAGTCAGCAGAGAAATAACCGCAGCTGCTGCACTCCAGATCTTGCGCAACAGCTGAATCTCCCCACTGGACTAGAACCGAACCGAATCACACATTAACCTATTATTGAAAGCAACTTGCCACTGGAAAGTGTCGTAAGATGCCCTTGTGGAGCTGGGGTAACTGTTGTGCTGTTCGTGGCTTTACTCTAATAATCAGACTACATTTAGTTTGTGGCTGCAGCAAGTTCAAGATAACCCACATCTGCATCCGAAGCAACTGAGTCAGTGAAGTAGCTATGCTAGTGCAGGTAGCTACATATGCTAGTGCGGGTAGCTACATATGCTAGTGCGGGTAGCTACATATGCTAGTGCGGGTAGCTACATATGCTAGTGCGGGTAGCTACATATGCTAGTGCGGGTAGCTACATATGCTAGTGTGACTTGAAGAAATGCGGCCATTTCTTCAAGTCGCCATCGCTCCCTGCAATAGCTGTAGGTTGCGGGGAGTAAACCTACAGTAAACTGATAGTCACATTTAAGCTTTGATCGCTGGCGTTCCCACATATTTTATAGCCTACAAGCTCTGAAGAAAGCCGGTTAGCGTTAGGGTAACATGTAAACAAATGGTAGTTCCGGCTTGCGGCGGAAGTTGCGCCCATAATTCACGCAAAGCATCATGGGGCATAGGAATAAGGTGGATAGGCTTCACCCTTTAAGGCAGGGGTCACCAACTCCAGTCCTCCAGGGCTACCATCCTGCAACTTTTAGATGCGTCTCTGCTCAAACACA